GGGCCAGCAGGGGGCTCACCTTGCAGTCTATGTGGGTCCTAATGCCCCAGTATAGTGAAAGGAACACTATACTGTAAAAAGGTGCCGTCCATCAGATGAGATGAAAAAACCGTCCTGACTCTCTGTGGTCATTAAAAATCCCAGGGCGTTTCTCGAAAAGGGTAAGGGTGTCTCCCTGGTGTCCTGGCCAAATTTCCTATTGGCCCTTACCAATCATGGCCTCCTTACAATCCCCATCTATGAATTGGCTTCATCACTCTGTTTTTCTCCCCATTAATAGCTGATGTGTGCCGAACACTCTGGCGCACTATGGCTGCTGTCGCATCATCCAGGTAGGGCTGCATGTTGGCGGTGGTGGAGGGGATCCTCATGACCTGTAAAGCACTGTGAGTGAAGTGTCCAGAAAAAGCTCTATACATGTGTAAGCTATTCTTATTATTGAAGCTCTTATGTTCAACTTTACATCTACTGTATGGTTGTATGCCCTTTCCTATACTATATTATAGACTACAAGACTATAATACAAGACTATAATACACCACTATCTGTACAAATTACAGTATAATATACAGTAGCTAAAACCAACTTGCAATTTTTGGTGTCTGCCTCATCACCACAAACTCTGCTCAGGGTTCGGGTAACTCAGGGTCCAAGTGATATTGTTCTCGAAGGACAGGGTGGCTGCACAGGTTTGTGGTGTACTGCTGGTTGTTTCTGAAGTGATGAGTTCTCAGAAGAGAACTCGATCCATGTCATGAGCTCATCGGTGCATTATCCAAATCTAAGTAGTGTCCTTTAATGTAATTTTCATTAAATTCACAAGGTTTTGTCTTATTGAAGAGAAAGTTCATGTAGTATGTCTAATATTTGCTGAGTTATGCTTCGCTAAGTATTGCACAGCTGCTAGAACTCTGTCAAAATTGAAGGCCAGTGCTGCTGCTTATTTCCCAAAGTGTGCATTCATGTGTTCATTGCAGAGAAAAGTTATTTATTTATTCGTCCATTCAGTTGAGTTTAAGGTGTGCTCATTGGAAACTTCATGAGACTGCAGTCATTCAAATCAATGCTTCTACAGTAAGTCGTTTCAGCCTTTTTTTTTTACTAATTCGATTGTTGCTTTTGAGCTGTGCAGCAGAAACAAAATCGCCATCGTGGATAAAGTCACAAACCACTTTCAACCCTTTCTTCGTTAGTTATTCTGCTACTCTGAATGGTATTGGTTGTTATGGTTCATTGAAATAGAGTGTAGTCGCAGACATATTTTTGTAGCTTTTTGTTCCACTAAAATATGTATTGTCATTATTGGCTGGATGGGAGATATGTCTTTTTCTGTCTCCTCTCTGCTCTTGAACTGTACTTCACTACTTGCTATTCAATTCTGATCCAACGGAGTATGTCCTGCAATTAGTCCGCCCATAGGAATGAGTAAGGTGTGTCCAGATCTGGTACTATTGGAAGGACACATGAGCTAGGATGGAGAGACCCTTTCCTTCTGGTTCTGAACGTGACAAGTACGTTGAGGATGATAGGCCAAGACACACAGACTCCCAGTATAAAGAAGGTATGATTAACCAGGACATGCAACCTCCAAGTATAATGGTGTGATAGGGCCATTGAAGTAATTCAACGACGCACAACAAACAAACAACACAGACATTTCAGGACATGCCAGGAACCAGGTCGAATGCAGTGTCTTGCCCGTGCATTGACAAGCTGTGACCTTGCTATGATGCATATAGAATCAGGGTCTTCTGGACCTCAAGCCAGCCACTTAAAGTCATATGTTAGCTTTCTGTGCAGAAACTCTAAATAACCTGCTTCATGGTATTGGGTTGGGCGACTGGACAGCACATGGTTGAGTCCATCTTTGTCATTCTATAGACTTTAAAGTAAAATCAACTCTGCCACGTTTGTGCTGTTGTGACACAATAATGTGCAACAATTTTAGGATTTGGCAGTGTTACGAAGATACTTATGACTTTCCCTGGACTCGCGTAACAAGCATTCAAATAAAGATTTAGATTAAATACAGTAGACACAATTGTGAAGTACTTGGCTATTTTTTCTTAAATTCCGAAATTTACATGCGAATAGGGAGAATGGCAGAGAAAAGAGTCTCTTGTATAATGTGTCCTATGGCATTCTTCAGTGCCTTATCTGCAGGTGCAGTTATTGATCTGGAAAGAGCCGATTTTCCAATGGCCCAGTCAAATCTCTATTCTCTGAGATGTATTCCTGCTGGAACAAACTCTTTTTCTTCTCAACTAATAATACCGGGGAACAAAACAGTCCTAATATTTTGTATGACTGATTTGGATAATCTAGAAAGGCTCAATGAAGTCCATCCATCTGTTTTCTAACTGCTTGTTCCAGTTCAGGGGTGCTGGGGAGCCAGAGCCTATCCTGGCAAGCAACAGGTGTACACCCTGGAAGCGATATTAATCCCATTTCACAGGGCGCACACACACACACACTAGTGCCAATTATCCCAGAAGTCGATTAACCTACCAGTATGTCTTTGGACTGGAAACTGGAGTACCCAAAGAGAAACCCTTGTGAACATGCCATTAGCCATTAGCCTTTGTACTTGCAGTGCTCTGTGGACAGCCAGTGTACGGAACATTTCAGTTCTCAGTGGCTGCTCCTTAAATATGCTGAACTCCGGGCTCTGAGGTTGCTCCTGGGGTTGTAGCAGGACAGGGTTAGCCAAATGTCGAGCATAATCTATCTCCTGTAAATAATGGTCGTCAGTAATGCTAATGCTAAATTTTGTCCACATCTAAAACCTGGGTTAAATAACGTTGAGCTGGTTAAAATTGATGGATATGGATTAGTAAAAGATTTTTTCATATTTCTTAAAAAAGAGACACTATAGAAACCTATATATATATAGCTTTATAAATTGTAACTGCAACACACTGAAGTTGCTGACCAGATACACACAGGCAATGTTACCTGATTAAGTGGTACTTGATGGGCAAAGATGTAGTTAACTGAGGCTTTAACCTGTCCCTCAAAGTCAGTACCTTGGCGATACATACTGTATTTGTGGGATATATATCCACCTAGTAACATTAACTAAAAGTTAGGACCTCAGGTTTAACATAACACATCCATCACTATACTGGGGCATTAAGACCCACACAGTCCTATAATTATTATTTTATATATTAACATTTATTTATTTAAAAATATGTATTAACATATTATTATGAACAACAATAAAAAATACAGTGAGAGGAGAAATCAGATGGGGGGTATGGAATAAAATAGGAAAGCAATTAAATAAAAGCCCTTCTAAAAAAGGTTTGGAGTCCAGATTTCAAAGAGCAACTCCTGTTGCCTCCTTTCTGTTGGCCTGGTATCCCTCTTGTACAGCTGGAATCGGAGACCTACAGTCTGGAATCAGTGCCACCAGCAACTGGGAGACTGACCACCTCCCACTGCTTCGTGAAAGACACAGCAGCTCAGACTCGAGCAGTTGGAAACCCTGTGTTCCTGTCATTTCTGTATTAAATTGCACTGCTGTTGGTTGGCCTAAACTGCACTTTTCAATTCATCGCGGTGTTGCGACGATCTCAGCACCTCGCCTTGTTCCACCTGTTGCAGTATTGAATTGGCTGCATTTGTTTCTACGACTCTGAGCTGCACGCTGGTTCTCTGCATTTTCTATGGCTCTGTGGTCTTGAATACAGGTGGTCTTGAACAGAGGCAGCAGCTAAAGGTGTAGTAATAGATGGGGAAAAAAGGGTTTAAACGTCTCATTTTCTGCGTGGCCACTCGCCAAGCATGAACCCCAGAGAGCAGGATATCGGCTGCTCACAACTGAACCCACTTTCTTTGACTCCTCAGTACTGATTTTATAGCAGGAAATAAGAGACATATGTTGGATTTCTGGGGTTTAAAAATCCTTTTAAAGTTTGAAAATAAAGTTTACTCCATAAAATAGTATTAATGGCTTTAGATTTAACTTACTGCAACCATGCTTGACAGCAGCACAATTCTTGTAGAGGATAATGGGAAGAAAACAGAATGTCAGTATTGCAGGTAATGTAGGTAAGGGGGACTGTATCTGGAGACTCCTCCAAAACAATACATGCTATTCAAAACAATTCGCAAACATAGCGTCATAGTTATAATCAAAGCTGTTTTCTCACATGGCGTGAATAAGCAAGTTTATTTGTTTTAAGTGAAGGCGTTTCCTTGAAGAGGTGTTCTGGTAAGTATGCGGTTTCTTTGCCAATAAATAAAAATGCCATCGCGAAGGGTTAAGCCCCCGTGGCTCTTCACGGAACAGGTGTTTAATCGACTGTGTTGCGAAGAGGCGCAACAGATACATTTTATCCTTAACTACAGAGGGAGTTCAAGACGCTTAATTTTAACACGCGTGTAATTCAGGAACTGTTGTCGTGAGGGAGGTCGGGAGGAGAGAAAGGGGCGCTTATTCTTAACTCCTCGACACTCCCACTCGGCGACACAGGTGAGACGACGCCGACCCCCCTCGGGAAACCTGTCTTTATAACGTTTGACGCGATACGAGCAGTTT